GCCCAATCATTAAAAAACCTTTTTTTTTTTTTTTCTCCCAGAGCTTTACAGGCGCTGAGAGCGCGTGAAGCCACACGACTCAGCTGCAGAAAAAAATCCCCCCATCAGTGTCTGTCCCCTGTAGCATAAAGTCTCTCTTTTAACACTCTAAAACCAAAAACATTTTAATGTCTCCTCCCTTGTACCCAGTCTTTGAAATACTCTATTTATTAGCAAATAACTACTGGCACTCATTAGCAATTGGCCTGGGTGGGTGGGTGAGCCCCTCTGTCGAGCGCTGCGGGAAGCCAGCTTCAGGGATTTCTCTTGGGAGCACAGAGGCAGCGGATGAGCAGGCTTTGGGGGATGTGGATTTGCGTGAAAAAAGTGGAAGCATCCACCGTGTTTCCAGCACTTGAGCTGGACCGTGCATCCTCGGCACTGGGGCGGGTACCTGTGGGACCGGCCATCTCTCCAGGGCTCTGGGGGGCTGGTTTGGGGCTCAGCGGGTGAGCCCAGCGAGGAGACCACCCGCCTCCGTGGTTTCCTCGCCCTGTATTTTGCAATCCCTATTTCCTTGCCAACACCAAGCAAAGGTTTGTGGCTCGCCGAGGGCCGTTTCTGCCGTGCCGACGCCGTATGCTAAAGCTGATAAAAATACGTCTTGGGGCTGAGTCATGTTTGAATCTGGCGCTGGCTCGGCGAGGATGTGCAAGACTTTGGGAGCTGGCAGCCTGCGTCGGTACCCGCGCCGCCCTGCCCACGCTGCTGCCTGCTTTGCTGCCGGGGCTGCTCATCCCTGCGCCCCAGCCCCAGCCCCGCAGCCCATCCCTGCCCAGCGGCGAGGCTTGGCTTGGGGTTGCTCCCTAAACACGTCATCTAGGGCCGTAACGCTGTAAAAATAAAGGATATAAATGGAGCTTTTAAGATTCAGCAGCATCCCGGGCTTATCGATGATGCTCAGCGACAGGGTCAGCGTATGTATGTCCCTCGTCCCAGCAAGTCATTTGTGTTGATGACTGTACTATAAACTGTTTTAAGCAACAGTAAATCTATTAGCAGCATCAGTATCTTTCCCCAATGAGTAATGTTACCTTCACGATAAACGGGAGACCATTAGGAACAAAACTACAGGATTCACGCAATGCGTGTGACCCTACCGAGCTAGCGAGAGGCGGCACGAGCCCGGAGGAGCCCGGATGGGTGGGCAGGAATCGCCTTCTGCAGAAAAGTTAGTTGCAAATTTCCTGATGCATTTTATTATAATAAAGGAGACCACACCAAGTGTAAAAGCAACCCAAGCCCTTAAAAGCGACTGTGATTTTATATTGCTGAGTGCTGCAGGACTGATAAGCAAACGCTGATTTTACTTCTTTACTGGAGAGGTGGGCCTGCGTGAACCGCATGAGGTTCCACAAGGCCAAGTGCAAGGTCCTGCCCGTGGGTCAGGGCAATCGCAAGCACAAGCACAGGCTGGGCAGAGGGTGGCTCGAGAGCAGCTCTGAGGAGAAGTTCTTGGGGGTGCTGAGAAGCTCAACATGAGCCGGCAATGCGCGCTGGCAGCCCAGAAAGCCACCCGTGTCCTGGGCTGCATCAAGAGCAGCGTGGGCAGTGGGCGAGGGAGGAGATTCTGCCCCTTTACTCCGCTCTCGTGAGACCCCCCACCTGGAGTCCTGCGTCCAGCTCTGGAGCCCCCAACATAAGAAGGACATGGATGTGTTGGAGCGGGGCCAGAGGAGGGACACGGAGATGATCCAAGGGCTGGAGCACCTCTCCTACGAGGACAGGTTGAGGGAGCTGGGGCTGCTCAGCCTGGAGAAGAGAAGGCTCCGGGGTGACCTTAGAGCAGCTGCCAGT